AAAAATCAATAAGGAAAAAACAACTATATGTGCTGTTAAAGATTTATCTGGGAATACAATATACGATCCTAAAAAAATAAACAAAATTTTTTGGGATTTCTATGAAACTTTATATACACCACAAATAAACCCATCTAAAAACGAAATTGATCAATTTCTCGACAACATAACTCTTCCAAAATTATTAGACACCCAAGCAATGGCACTGGATTCACCACTGACGCCAGGTGAACTCCAGGAAGCTTTGATAAGTATGCCCAATAATCAAAGGAGCTTGCAAAGAAAAGCGTCTGGACTTCTTTAAGTTACTTGAAGACGTTTCACCTCTCATCCGAGAAGCTTCTTCAGTTCTAAGGTCAAACGGTGGAGAGTCCCAGATATAAACCTAGTGGGAGTGACCCCCCACAGAGGGACAAAAGGACCCCCTGATGATCCTCTAATCGCCTGAACCAAGGTGTGAAACTGGGCGTGGGTCCCAATCAGCCAGAGTTTCGGGTGAGCTCATTGTGAAACCTGGCCCCACCTTATCATGCGAATTCCTGAGGTCAGATGGCCCAGGGTGTGAGTGGGGGTTAAGGCGTCTGGGAAGGGATCTCAAAACTGGATTATAGATGGCAGAGAGTTGGTGTCGTAAACCCCGCCTCTGTTCAAAGATGGTTGCTCACAGTGGACATAGATGGCTTCTTTCACTCCTCTTTCAAACCATCTGTCCTCTCTGTCCAAAATGTGAACATTGGCATCCTCGAAAGAGTGTCCTTTATCCTTAAGATGCAGATGGACTGCTGAGTCTTGTCCTGTGGAGGTGGCTCTTCTGTGTTGTGCCAGTACCTCCTCTTTGACTCCCATCACCCTTTGGAACACAAACTTGGAGTAATCAGGACCCTACACCACCGGGCAGAACATGTTCCCTCTAAGCCTGAAGGAAAAAAGAAGGAACACACACATGTAAAGGAAGCACTCAAAACGTGCGGCTATCCTAAATGGGCGTTCTTAAAGTCAGCAAAGAGGCACAGAAAAGAAGACCAGACACCAGCGAGGGAGGATAAGAAGGACAGACGCAACAACATTGTCATCCCCTATGTAGCCGGTGTATCAGAAAAACTCAGGAGAGTTTTCTCCAAGCACGACATCCCGGTGTATTTCAGACCCAGCAACACGCTCAGACAAAAACTGGTTCACCCGAAAGACAAAAAACGCCAAAACACAGACATAACAATGTGGTGTATGCTGTACAGTGCAGCGAGGAATGCCCAGACCTCTACATTGGAGAGACCAAACAGCCACTTCACAAGCGCATGGCACAACACAGAAGAGCCACCTCCACAGGACAAGACTCAGCAGTCCATCTGCATCTAAAGGTCAAAGGTCACTCTTTCGAGGATGCCAATGTTCACATTTTGGACAGAGAGGACAGATGGTTTGAAAGAGGAGTGAAAGAAGCCATCTATGTCCACTGTGAGCGACCATCTTTGAACAGAGGCGGGGTTTACGACACCAACTCTCTGCCATCTATAATCCAGTTTTGAGTTCCCTTCTCAGACGCCTTAACGCCCACTCACATCCTGGGCCATCTGACCTCAGGAATTCGCATGATAAGGTGGGGCCAGGTTTCACAATGAACACACCCGAAACTCTGGCTGATTGGGACCCACACCCAGTTTCACACCTTGGCTCAGGCGATTAGAGGATCATCAGGGGGTCCTTTTGTCCCTCTGTGGGGGGATACTCCCACTAGGTTTATATCTGGGACTCTCCACCATTTGACCTTAGAACTGAAGAAGCTTCTCGGATGAGAGGTGAAACGTCTTCAAGTAACTTAAAGAAGTCCAGTTTTCTTTGCAAGCTCCTTTGACTACGATGACCTGGATGACTGAGAACCTTCACAGACATATGCCCAATAATAATGCTCCTGGTCCAGACGGTTTTCCAACAGATTTTTACAAAGAATTCTGGACAATTCTGGCACCAGTTTTTCACAGGATGTTGCAGGAAATCAAAGAAAATGGTAGACTACCACCAAATATGAACTCTGCAAATATAAGTCTCTTACAAAAACCAGGCAAAGACCCTGTATTTCCTTCAAGCTATCGTCCAATATCCCTTATTAATGTAGATCTTAAAATAATCTGTAAAGCTCTCTCTAAGAGATTAGAGAAAATAACCCCCCTCTTAATTCATCCTGACCAAACTGGTTTCATAAAAGGTCAGCACTCCTCAACAAACACTCGTAGATTACTTAATTTAATAGACTACTCATACAATAAAAACATCGAAACCATAATATTATCTCTAGATGCAGAAAAAGCATTTGACAGAGTTAACTGGAAATTTCTATTTGCAACTTTACATAAATTTGGTTTTGGACCCTCTTTCATAAACTGGTTAAAAATATTATATAACTCCCCAACAGCTTGTGTCAGAACAAACGGGACACAAAAAAAAAAGAAAAAAAAAGGCTAAATTAGCTCCTCAACATGTCCTGAAGTTCTCCAGAGGCCTGGTAACGAACTAATCATGTGATTCAGGTGTGTTGACCCAGGGTGAGATCTAAAACCTGCAGGACACCGGACCTCGAGGAGTTACCCACCCCTGGTAGAGAGTAATAAAAGGGTACAGGTGCTAACATGGCCAACATTTAAAAAAACCAAGCGAATTATAAATCAAAAAGTACAACAATGGTGGAGCCAAACTGTTTAGCAGCTCCAATCATATTCTAAAACCAAAAGACGTACCATTTTGCTTTCAGAGCTACAGTGACTGATCTCACTGGTGTTAGTCAAACAAAATGGAATAATTGCAGCATGTGTTTTTATCTAAATTTGATATCTAAATTTAAACATTTATTAATCTAAATATCTAAAAGTTATTGAAAAAATGTCTTAAAGAGTTATTTTCAGATAAAAATATAAAAACATCTACAATTCTACAATAGTTAGACAAAATGCAGTGCTCATGCTGTTTATTTATTTATTTTATTTAGGACAGTGCATGTTAATGAACATAAATGTAAAAAAAATTACATGAATGTAAACATACCAGATTATAGCCAAGGGCTAATTTCCACCTGTTGTCCTTAAGCATAAAAAATAGACATAATAATTCATAAAAATTCATCATTCATTCATAATAAAAACTCCATCACCAAACTTACACATACACACCATTCATGCTAATGTGCCCAAGCAGCCCAGGCAGACATTAGGTTGTAAGTAGTAAATCTGCTGCCTGTACACTTTAACTGGCACTTCACAATAGATTTCTGGCACTTAAGATACAATCATTTGGCTTCAAAAGACATGAAGTGCCTTTATTTGTGTTTCCACATTAATGACAATTCTAATACTTTACAGATTAGTCTTTTGGTGCTTTGTCAGAAATTTTAATTTGCATGTAAGCAAACCTGAAGTTTCCAGACATGCGTCTGTGCTGTTTTCTGAATTTTCTTAGCAGCTACTCACTTCCAGTTTTCACATTGGCTTGACGCGCACACCCACAGGCCAAATTAAGAAGCCTCCCAAATTTGCACACCTTTTTCTTTACTTAACAGTAACGTGTCTTCCACAGCTTCTGAGCCACTGTGTTAATGTTGGTTAATCTGACTGTGACACATGATTGATAGCCTCTCCCAAGTGTGCAGGATCCAAAGGATTAGTAGTGTTTACTTCTAGTAGCATGCTGGGTACCTTGGCTGTAAATGACTGGAATTAATAACCTGCTGACGCCTATGAGACAGCTCTGTTTATGTACAGGGAGAGACATGACAGTCTGCCCTGGACATTGAGTAGCTGTAAAAGAGTCTGCCCTTGCCCAGAAAGGTTTGTGTTTATATGTCACTTATGACGATGCTAATATTCCTGTTAGCCTAAAATGATTCTTTCTAAATGTATTTTTTTGGCCTTTAGCATTTTTAGGTCATATGCCATGAGGCTCAGATATTAATAATACAGGATTAGTGCAGTGTTTACATTTCCCTCTCTCTCTCTGCTTCTGGCTTTATCCACACCTCCCTTCTTCCCTGTCACACACAGACACACACATGCACACTAAGGGGCATGAGAACAGGGTAAATCCTGACAACTTCAATGAAGCCTCACACAAAGACTAAAACTCGAGGGGGGGTGAGAGAAATGCAAAACCGTACAGTAGCCTGACCTCTTCCAGCTAACATAGACATGCATGCACCAGATACCGGGCGTGGCCACCTTCCTGCACAAAGCCAGAAATAAAGAACCAAGATAATGTTTTCAGCAACAAGACCCCTGGGTGACCTTCCTTATCGACCCCAGCATGACCCCATAGTGAGGAAGGAGAGAAGCAAAGCGCCCAGTATCACTATACAGGAGTCGAATGGACAGGGACATCACTACAATAGTGAAAAAAAGGAAGGTGCTGTCATTGTGTGCTCACAGTAAATCACTGTGTAGGTGACAGTCCCAGATCTCGGGCCCTTGCACCCACCTTAACATCCCGGTGCGCTCATAAGTCAAACGTCTTTCTCTGTCTACACTCTCACTGTGATTGTAGCCTCAAGTCTTTGGTCATTCATGTATAGTTTCTTAAGTATTTCTCCACAGCTGGGCTGGTTTGTCTGTTTCGGGTCAAATACAGGTTTGTGGCTTCAGGGTGCAACTGTACTCTGCTTAACGCTGAGGAATGTGCCGCATCCAGCTTCAATACCAGCTGGGAATGGAAGGAGATCATTTCCACTCTCAATGACTCCATCCATAAATTGAAAGCTAACGACGATCAGTCTATGCAGCTGGGTTTTGAAAGCAACATAACAATTGAATTACGCTTTGTTTTTACATGCCTCTATGCGTGCCATCCTCATACACTAGGCAGACCTCTTCTATCTTAACGCAAGTGTAAACAGTTATCTTTTTTGTTTATGCTCTGATATTTAACAGTTAAACCTGTGAGAGTGCTGTGTAACCATCGCATAAATCCATCTGTCTGTCTCTTGTAATTTTTCTCACGTCTTCGCTGTGTTTTGTCCACAGTTGACCTGGAGCACATGAGGACAGTGAAGTCTGATAAACACCAGCGCTTCTGCCAAGAGAACGGCCTCATCAGTCAGTTCGTATCGGCCAAGACAGGGGACTCGGTTAGTACCAGCCAATTTTCAGTAGGTCAGAAAATAAATTGGAAGTGGCTTTCATTGGATTCACCTTGTGTTATTTTTCTCTGAATTTCTTATTCCAGGTGTACCTTTGTTTTCAGAGATTGGCTGCTGAGATTCTGGGTGTAAAACTAAACAAAGCAGAGCTAGAGCAGTCACAGGTGAGCCGTGACAGCATCAAGGTTTAGCATCAAGGTTGTGTATGCAACGTTCTTCTAATCGTATATGGATAATTTGCTCTTAGTCTCATCAGTACTTCACCAGTCACCTATGTGCAATGTTATGCCTGAACTTAAGCGAGGTCACGGGGAGTGCGTTAGGTCAATGGAGGTCACCACACACTGTATAGGACTTTTTGCTGTGTAAACATGATTTTGCTACGTCTGCCTCCTGTGATGGTATACCTGCCACTGACACTGCCCATCTGTAAATAGACCCACATTGACCACATTAATGCGTGAAGTCAGAGGTTAAAGGTAGGCAGTTGTTGGGGTGAGAAGGTTAGGAGTGGCTGGCTGATTTATTAGTTTTATCTCCCACTGTTTTTGTTTTTTTTGACAAAACGGAGCCTCGGCTTGCCAGCCAGTCCATGATGCCCAATAGTGGCAGCTGTAGGATTTACAAGGTCACCTCCCCCAGAGGCATTAATCCTGAGTGTGATATGACCGGCTGGAGCCACACTGGCTGGCTAGTGGTTGATGAGCCTGAGGGGCTACAGAGAGGTCAGGACCCCAGAGAAGGGAGAGCTTGTAGGTGAAAGAGTGGCCAAATTCTCAAGCTCTGCTCCAATCAGCCAACACCGCTTCTGACTAAGTGAAAATGACCACAGACTAATGTAGCTGTCCATCTGCTTTTGCATTTAACCCCCTCCCTTCATAGTTCTGTCAGTAAAGCAAAGTGCTTTAATCCAGGCTAATCAAGCTGGGTGGGTGGCTAGATCCACTGTCCACTCATAAAGAAGGGATGAGTAGTTGTCAGAAACACAAAACACAGCACAGCTCTACAGGGAAGAAAACATATATTGTATAAGCAAAAGAAACTACTTAACATTTATTAAACTTCCTATAAAACCACTGAGTTAAAGGTACATTCCAGAAATTTACATATCTAGTGGATACTGTATGTGTTGTGATCTGAGGTTCTGATTGATTATGAATAATCTAAGAATTAAGAATCTAATCAAATAATTATTTTCTCAGTCTGTTGGTTTGCTCAGAATTTCTCATAGCTGGTATTTTCAGATGTTTTGTCAGCGCAGTAGTCCAAAGTGTTTGTCGATTTCTGCAGGTTGGTGTGGAGGAATGTGTTTTACTTGGTCAAAGCAAAAACAAAACGCAAGAAACAGTTCATAAATTTTCATAAAGACCAGTGTTGTAAATGGAAATTGGTGCAGAGAGAAGGCTTTCAGCAGGTCATGCCTCTGGGTGTAGCCATGGGTGAGCAAAGTGTCGTTATCAGCTGTCAGGTTTAGAGAGCTGAACATGAGGGTCACAACCCCCGACAGTATTATATCTGCCTGGCAGGCTTCTCCGTCATGGTCCTCTGTCTGTAAGATCAGATAGCGAAGTTACGGATCACTCACCGACTCCAACACCAGGTTTCAGCAGCTCGTTAATCAGGCAGCCAACCAGGGCCTGGTATTCAGCCATGTGGGCTCCTCGAAGGTGGTTAATCACCATAGGGTCCAGCTGCCCTTTTCTATTGAATAAATGAATTATTTTTAGGGTTTGGACAAACCAGCAATTTAAAATGTCTCATCAGACATAAACTAGGATGAAGTGTACTGACATGGCATCGATCTCAATAATGAAAGACTAGATTTTCAGTGTTCTAAGGTTTTTTCCTTTGTGTGTTTTAGCGTGTGTTTAATTAGAAAACTGGCTTAGCTCTGTGTGCTGTCTACACTCCTTTTCTTCCTCATCTCTAGCACTCCCTGATTTATTCTTTCTCATTCACTCATTACTTTGCTCAATGTCGCTTTTAACTCTCATCATACGTGTGCTCTCTCATGATTTTATAACTGTCTGTTTTTCTGTTTTGTTTTGTTTTTCTATTCTTTTTCCTGTCTTCCACTCATCTACTGCTCGATACACTGAACCTGCTCAGAGGATTGTGAAGGCTGAGCTGGTGGACTACCCACAGGATGAAGGTCCAATTAGTCAAGAGAACGCCCAGCAAAGCAAAATATGTTTGATTCAGTAGCCGGAAGTATGTCTCTACAGTTACACAGATATATCCCCGTAGATTTGTAGTTGTAGCAACTATTAGTAATAGAGGTTATGTTTTGGTTCAGAGTTTAAATTTACAAAGTAGTGAATCAAATAAAAATACATGTCCTCTGTAGTAGTGTTATTTTTTTAGTCCACTTTGGGATTCTAAGCTATGTGTGTTTTTGTCCGTGTGTGATGTAATGAGAAAAACCTCAAAACCATGAAACAGATATGACTCCATTCTGACCTTCATCTGCTTCCTGTCAGATTCAGGGCGTGGGTGCACAAACATTTTGACCAATGTCTTCAGTCATAGCATGGACTTTGAGCCCATGTCAAGAAATGTTAAAGAAACAATTTGGGAGATATCTCAGTCAGCCATCTAGATGAGAAGGTCCTTACAACTTACAGTGGGGCAAAAAAGTATTTAGTCAGCCACCGATTGTGCAAGTTCCCCCACTTAAAATGATGACAGAGGTCAGTAATTTGCACCAGAGGTACACTTCAACTGTGAGAGACAGAATGTGAAAAAAAAAATCCATGAATCCACATGGTAGGATTTGTAAAGAATTTATTCGTTAATCAGGGTGGAAAATAAGTATTTGGTCACCTCAAACAAGGAAAATCTCTGGCTCTCACAGACCTGTAACGTCTTCTGTAAGAAGCTTTTCTGTCCCCCACTCGTTACCTGTATGAATGGCACCTGTTTGAACTCATCATCTGTATAAAAGACACCTGTCCACAGCCTCAAACAGTCAGACTCCAAACTCCGCCATGGCCAAGACCAAAGAGCTTTCGAAGGACACCAGGAAAAGTATTGTAGACCTGCACCAGACTGGGAAGAGTGAATCTACAATAGGCAAGCAGCTTGGTGTGAAAAAATCAACTGTGGGAGCAATCATCAGAAAATGGAAGACATACAAGACCACTGATAATCTCCCTCGATCTGGGGCTCCACGCAAGATCTCATCCCGTGGGGTCAAAATGATCATGAGAACGGTGAGCAAAGATCCCAGAACCACACGGGGGGACCTGGTGAATGACCTGCAGAGAGCTGGGACCAAAGTAACAAAGGTCACCATCAGTAACACACTACAACGGCAGGGAATCAAATCCCGCAGTGCCAGACGTGTTCCGCTGCTGAAGCCAGTGCATGTCCAGGCCCGTCTGAAGTTTGCCAGAGAGCACATGGATGATACAGCAGAGGATTGGGAGAATGTCATGTGGTCAGATGAAACCAAAGTAGAACTTTTTGGTATAAACTCAACTCGTCGTGTTTGGAGGAAGAAGAATACTGAGTTGCATCCCAAGAACACCATACCTACTGTGAAGCATGGGGGTGGAAACATCATGCTATGGGGCTGTTTTTCTGCCAAGGGGACAGGACGACTGATCCGTGTTAAGGACAGAATGAATGGGGCCATGTATCGTGAGATTTTGAGCCAAAACCTCCTTCCATCAGTGAGAACTTTGAAGATGAAACGAGGCTGGGTCTTCCAACATGACAATGATCCAAAACACACCGCCCGGGCAACAAAGGAGTGGCTCCGTAAGAAGCATTTGAAAGTCCTGGAGTGGCCTAGCCAGTCTCCAGACCTCAACCCCATAGAAAATCTGTGGCGGGAGTTGAAAGTCCGTGTTGCTCGGCGACAGCCCCAAAACATCACTGCTCTCGAGAAGATCTGCATGGAGGAATGGGCCAAAATACCAGCTACTGTGTGTGCAAACCTGGTAAAGACCTATAGTAAACGTTTGACCTCTGTTATTGCCAACAAAGGTTATGTTACAAAGTATTGAGTTGTATTTTTGTTATTGACCAAATACTTATTTTCCACCCTGATTTACGAATAAATTCTTTACAAATCCTACCATGTGGATTCATGGATTTTTTTTTCACATTCTGTCTCTCACAGTTGAAGTGTACCTCTGGTGCAAATTACTGACCTCTGTCATCATTTTAGGTGGGGGAACTTGCACAATCGGTGGCTGACTAAATACTTTTTTGCCCCACTGTATGTCTGTGCATGACCCTGCCGCCAGTAATGGGACCGCTCCAGGGGTGTCAAACTCAGATACACATTGGGCCAAAATTCAAAACTGGAACCAAGTCGCGGGCTAACGTTAATATTTATTGAAATATATTTATTCCATGTGATGGTTTCAATTACTTCTATCGTTGTAAGTATTCTTCCCTTATGACTTGGATGTAAATTAAAATACTATTTCAGTATTTAAGGCAGATAACCTAAGTATGAAGAATGCTTACATGATGTACATACTGTGAATGCCTGCTTTTGAAACCTTAATAAAAATATGAATTAAAGAAATATATTTATTCCTCCAGATTTAAGAATGAATCTCTTCTTATGGACTCAAACACGTTTTGCTGAAAAACTGAATATGGAACAAGCAAAGCTTAATACTAAACAATATAAATTTTAGCTGTGTAATACCAGTAGGCCAGCTCTGATAGTAATTTGGTATGGCTTCGCGGGCCAAGTGTAATTAGGCTGCGGGCCAAATTTGGCCCACGGGCCAGAGTTTGACACCTATGGCTTAGACGGACATACAGAGTTTTTAAAATTAGATGTTTCTCCTGATAATGGTTTTTGGGCTAAATTAAGCTAGTCTGCTGCTGGCTGTGGCTTTGAATTTATAGTCAAGACATAAGAGTCGTATCAGTCTTTTCATTCAAAGCTGCATGAAAGCAAACACTTCTGTTTCTCAAGATCTCATTCACAGTGTCGTTTATTGCACTTTTCAGCAGTTTAACTCTTTAATAGGCGAGGCTTAATTTAATCTGTGGCCTAACTGGAGGTTTCTGGTATTTCAAAGGAATTCTTGTTGCAGCTTTCAAACTAAAAAGACACCTTTCCATCTTTTTCAGCGCGTGGTGAAGGCGGACATTGTGAACTACAGTCAGGACACTGTAGCCAGGACAGTCAACCCCCCTCGCAGCTCCATGTGTGTGGTGCAGTGATCCCCTCCGAAACACACAAACACACATAAACACACACAAAGCTTGTTTACAGTGTTACTCTTTCCAGATTTTTTTGATGACTGGATGAAAAGTGTTTCTCTTTGTGGGTGAGGAGAACAGACCGTGCGGTTTCGAGGCCTTGGTCTGTAGTTCAGATATTTAGCACGAATAATTTCATTGGTGGTTCACCAAAAAGGATACGGGACCTCACTTTTCTTTTTTTCCAAGTTTACACGCAGCTATTCTTTCATTTCATCTTAGATTTATATTTAAAAATGACTCTTACATCGATTACTAGCTCTATGTTAGTACAAAGCTGGTTTTTCAGTCTGCTAGTTGAGAATATTTTTATACATGAGCATATTTTCTTCTACCATTGCTGTTAGAGACGTTTGTTTAAACAGTAACCCCTGTTTAATCTGTGGCTGTAACTACGACTGCAGGGTGGATGTTCACGGGACATAAACGGGAAGATGAAAGCAAATGTGATTTTCTGATTTTCTTTTTATGCCTGTGGTGCTCATCAGTTGAAGAGAGGGGAAGTAGGTGTAGAAAATGTTTTAGCGAGTGGAGTGAAATGAATCTCTGCTTTGTTTTTGCCAAGTAAGGGCCTCCACTAGCAGTAATGTGATGTGAACTACCGTATGTTGTGTTATTTTTGCATAGACATATTTAAATTTTAGTCGTAAATTAGGATTTACATTTTCCACAAAACAAACATACAAATGATTTCCATCTGTTTAAACAGCGTCTCTTCTTCAGGTGTTCCTTGTAGATTATATTATCCATTTCGAAAATGTAGTTTTATATTTATGATTAGAGTTCATGTAATTTTGTTAGATGCTCCTTTGGTAAAGTGTTAATGACATTAGATGAATATGACTGAAGAGGTTCTGAGTATCAAGTTGAGCATCAGCTAAGCTAAAAATATACGTTTTGATTAGATTTCTCTTCGACTGTCTAGAACAGCGGTTTGAATTGGAGAATGAGTTTGATGCACAGCAACCTGTTCTTTAGTTTGTGTGTCTGAGATACTACCAGATTTGTTTAGGTGGTCACAACTAAACAGCCATCATATGTGTAAAATGTGTATTTGTATATGAAAAGCTATCCCTGCTCCATTTCAAAGCAGCTTTCAATGATTAGAAATCATCACAAGGCATCACTGTAAATTCTGATCATGCTAAGAAGATGTACTCTTTAGAAATGAAAAAAATGTACAGTGAAAAGTGAATGTTTAGATATACAGTGACACATATTTGTGTTTTTAAATAAATGCTACATGGAAAAAGAAGTGATTTGTGAAGTTAATTAATTAATCTTGTGTGTACAGCAAGACTTTGCAGGTCTTGCCTGGAAAATGGGAAACAGACATTTATTTAAGTTTTATTTAGTCTTTATGGTAGTCATCAGGGATAGTTATTCCTGAAGGAGACTCTTCTTTAGATTTGCTGCCTTCTGTTCTGTCAAGAGGATCCCTCACTGCTTCAATAATGCTGAGGTCTGCGCTCTGGGGGAGTCATGACTGATGGTGTTGCATTGGGCGTTTTTCTGTCCACGTCCGCTTTCCGTGCGCTAGAAATGTGTTTGGGTCATTGTCAGAAAAGCTGAGAAAGGAAGCCATTGCCAGATGGTATTACATGATGGATACCATCTGATGGTACTTTTCTTGGTTCATAATTCCATCAATTTTGACAAGATCTCCAACATCACCGGCTGATATGCAGCCCCCAAACCATGACAGAGCCTCTACAGAGCCTCCACCTGTCACTGCTGATTTCCAGCCCAGTTCTTGTGTAATTTGGCAAACCTCAGTGTTTTCTCCCCATTTGCCTCCCTTAAGAATAGCTTCTTGACAGGCACCTCTGCATTACAACAAGTTCTGATGACACTTCACGAACAGTAGATGGATCAACTGAAGGTCAGATGCACATCTTAAATTATTTCTCAAGTATTTGCTAGTCAAAGGAGCTTGCAAAGAAAAGCGTCCGTTTAAGTTGCTTGAAGACGTTTCACCTCTCATCCGAGAAGCTTCTTCAGCTCTAAGTCCAAATGGTGGGGAGTCCCAGATTTAAACCTAGTGGGAGTTTCCCCCCACAGAGGGACAAAGGACCCTAGATTTTGCTAGATTTTTTTCTCCTTTTTTTCTAAGAACATGAATTTCAGATCAAGTTTTTTGACTTATAGCTTTTTGGGAGGGTGGCAGAATACAATTTAATGCCTGTCAAGCTGTTATATTTTTCATAGATTCTGCTAATTTCCAACAGATTGCTAGTAAACAAATTGTCCAAGGATACAATTTAAAATTGCTTCTTTAGTAAGTCGTCTGTTATGTGTAGACACACCACTGATTCATGTCTTTAGTTACAGTTTTATGCTTTTAAAAAGCATTGCTCTGAGTGGTCAGGTACAAAGACTGAACTGATATTAAGTTAAAAAAGCAGCCAATGTCTTGAATAAAGAGTGGGATTTGGACTGAGCGTGGAGTTAAAAATTGGAGCAGGACACTTGATGGTTCGTAGTGGGGCCGATGGCGCGATATGACAGCCTCGCTTCTGTCAGTCTGCCCCAGGGCAGCTGTGGCTACACCTGTAGCTGCCTCCACCAGTGTGAGAATGTGAGAGTGAATGAATAGTGGCATTGTAAACGCTATATAAATCCAATCCATTATTAGTGGGAAAGTGTAATTTTTAATTTTTTTTTTTACATCCCAATAATGTTTGCATATGCACATATATTTATTAGTTTCAGGTTGGCCATTCTTGTATTTTGCTCGTTTGTGTTGTTGTGTTTGCACATCTCTGTTGCTTGTGGGGCTCGCACACAAGAATTTCACTCGCATGTGCTGTGCCAGTGTGCCTGCACATGTGATGTGACAATAAAAGTGATTTGATTTGGTTTGATTTGATTTGAATAATTCCTGTGAACTTAAAACTAATGTGAGAGTTATACTTCTGTGGAAAATCGACACTTTATATAATTCTTAATCCTTAATCTCATCCCTATTATCAATTTAGACACATAGCTTCGTGAGCACATAAGCCCCACCCACCTGTGATTCAAACCTTGGGTTAAAGAAAGGCTGATTCTAAAGGCAAAGGCTGTTTCCAACAGAGTATAGATTACAAGAATGAACTGAAACCCAGTATAAGATAAATTAGGATAATTTCAACACCATGATGCTAAAACAACTCTAGTGGAGTCCAAGAATGAAAATGTGGAGCTAGAAATAAGCCCAATGTTTACTGTGTCTTCCACTAAAAATGTGATATAATCATAATAGTTGTTTTCATCATTTGTACTTTGGCCTATATTACCGTGAAATTACTGCATGATGTGTGGTATTAAAACGTAATTAGCTTTACCCTGCAGAAACCCTGATTTAGCAAATGATGTGAGTTTGAGGGGAATATTGTTACCACAGAATGAGCTGCCTGAATGTGCGCAGACATTCTCATTACTCAGGCTTTGTTAGCTTGCTACCACATTTGGACCTTGGTGTCGCTGCAATTTTTCACCTCATTCTGCTAACAGAAACCAACAGGAACACGCCCTGGAGGTGCTCATATGAGCAAGGCTACTGCTGATGAAGATGTTCAGAGTAAGAGCCCATGTGTTGAAATTTAAGTATAAGGATGGAAACTTGACCACCCCAGAGATCCCCATCCATACAGACGAACCTAAGTCTCTGGAGCAGGGTGCCGCCGGTGCATCGAGCCGCCTGGGGGGCTCTTCAACTGGTGGGGGGGATGGTCACATCTGGCAGGAGCTTTCTTCTCTCAGGAACTCTCTGCAGGAGGGGGAGATACAGGAGAGGTGGAGGAAGATCTCAGCCTGGGCGTTTACCGTCTTATGTAGTCTGGAAGATGTGTGGTTGGTGGGGTGGGTGCAGTTTTCTCTGTGGTGGGGTTGGGTGGACTGTCCAGGGCTCTGTGGAGCCGGGGGGCGCTACTGCACTGGGCCCCGGTCTGATGGGCCTGGGCCCCCCTTCCCTGGCGGGTCGCGGAGGGTGGGAGTGCCTACTGGGGTCAGCGGGGGAGCTGGCCCCAGGGAGGGGTTACCTGCCCCTCCCTTCCTTCCCTCCCCATCTCCAGCTGCCTCCCTCTTCCCGCTCCTCCACAACCACCCACACATGCAGGGCCTTGGAGTGGGGGTATGTCACCAGGGTGCAGAGGAGGCTACCCCCCCCCCCCCCTGTCCCCTTCTGGCTGCCTCTGCCTCAATTTTATCCCACAACTTAGACATTCACATTATTCACACTCTCATTACACATACATATAGGATCTTGGGGGTGGGCACAATCACGGAGTCCAAATCACCATCAGGGTGTATACCTCACCCCTGACGTCGTTGCCCACCTCTCAATTTTAAATACACTTAGTCATTGAGGGTTAGCAGGAGGGACTATGCGCTTACCTGCTGCTCCTTGGCAGGTAGCTCCATGCCCTCCTGGGTTTTAATTGCACCTTAGAACACATATGCATCAACACTACAATGAGCGGGTGAAGGGAGGTTTGGAGTCTTCTCCCACCCCCATTCTCTGCGGCCTGCTGGAGCGGGAGGGCTAGTAGGAGGAGTTGGCCGTCCGACTGCGGTCTGGGGTGTGGGGCCTCCCTGCTGCTGCGGAGTCGGGGTGGTCTGCCTCTCCCCACCGCAGGGAAAAGGGTAACACCACCTGGGTCTGGGTGCAATTCCCCCCTCCAGGGGCAAGGGTACCTAGACCCGGTTTGTAGAGTACGCTTGGGGAGTGTGATTGTGTGTACAGCGTCTCTTTATGTCTGTCTCCACGTTGGTTGAGTGTGGAGTGAGTGCATATGAGAGCATGAGGGTGGGAATGGATGTTTGTGTCTGTGTGTGCCCGTATGTCTGTGTCTATATGTCAGGTTGGGTATCAGACGCCACCTCTCTGGGGACACCTCAGGCCCTCCAAGGTTTGGAGGCCTATCTCCACCCACCACCACTTCCCCTGCCGGTGGCGGACTCCCTCAGGTGTCGGTGTGTTGGTGGTTCTTTGTGTCTGGGGGTGGGCGTCCGGGTACACACCGGCTCACTCCTTGGCGGCCGCTTGTCGGGGCCTGGGGCCTGGGGCTCGCTCGGGCCCCTTTGGAGGTGGGGTGCCCCCGGCCTCTCGGCCTAGGGCTCGGTCACTCAGGCGCAGCTGGGGGCCGGCGGAGCTCACGGGCGCGTCACTGCAACTCCCCTGACTTCTGCTCCGCGGCTGCTGGGCGAGCCCTCATCTGGGACTCTCCTCAGCTCTTACTGGGACAGTGGCGCGGCTGCCCCTCTGTTGGTCTTCCATGGTCTCTTGTGTTCTGGGGGCCTCTGGATGTCTGGAGTTTTGATCTCCTCCATACCCGCTTCACACCCTGGAGGACGGGGCTGTGGCCCCCCCACACTCCCTAGCAGATCATTACATGAAGAAACCTTTGGAATGCAAGCATGCTGATCCACACAGGTATGCACACATGGGTATTCACAGACGCGGACTAAAGCTTTCCTGGCTGCTGCCTCAAAGCACACTGTGCGCTGTCTATCTTGCGTGCTGCACAATATCGTTTATTACTTAGTAAATACTGATATCTATGACTAGCTAGTTTATTGTGATGGTGCTTTGTTTTCTCTATTATTATGTTGCTCTTTGTTGTTTGCTGTCTCCTCTGTTTGTTTGTTTGTTTGTTTGTTTTTGTTTTTCTCCATACAGGTGACCCAGGAGTCTCTCTTCCCCCCCCTTCTCACCGTCTCTTCTCCCCTTTGGTTTTCTTTCTTTCTCTCCCCCTCTCTCTCTCATTCATTCCCCCTGTCCTATTTATTAAAAAAAAAAAAAAAAAAAAAAAAAAAAAAATGACAAAGGATGAACTGAAGCTCTGCCATCACGTAATGTCGCATACTGCTGTTTCTGATGTCATTTAAAAAAAAAAAAAAAAAAAAAAAAAAAAAAAAAAGAAATTTAAGTATAAGGATGGAAACTTGACCACCCCAGAGATCCCCATCCATACAGACGAACCTAAGTCTCTGGTAGCTAATGAGCCACCTGGTCTTTGTTGACTAAATCCACCCTGAACAGATGATCCAAATGGCTTTTTAATGGTTGTAAACTTTATTAATTAATGACTTGAATTCTCTGGCCTTTTGTTAGCCTTTTTTTGCTGAGTCATTGTCAATGAATCCACTGGCGTGGTTGGAAGGATTAAGCGCTTTCAAAACCACTGAGTCAAACAAAACAAATGCTGTATCTATACAGGGATGCCCTCCGTTTTGTCCTGTTCCAGGTGTTGTTAAGTGCGACTGTGCGGT